TTTATCCATGCGTTCTCCCTTCGTTTGAAGGTAATGCTGCGGGTAAGGTCTTACCGCCAATGACATGCCCATGTTAAAATAAGGCCTTCTTGAAGCGAAAGGGTAAGCGATTCCCATCGCCTAGCTCGTTTCCACTTTCGTTTCTGTGGTAATCGTGTTTTTTGCTGGGTTGGCACAGTTGTTGGCCTTGGTACAGCATACTAAATGGCCGAAAAATCGGACAATAATCACGCCCACATCCCATATAACGGTAATTTTCAGAAAAACGAAAACTGCGATATTTTAGTAACTACTGAAGATAATTCACTAAAAATTGATATTTGCAATGAGTTTTAGACGAAAAATAAGAATATTACAAAATTTTGGCAAATGGGCGTAGCCACGCCCACTTATTGTTACATGTGTATATCTTGGTAACCGCTACACCAATTTCTTCCAAACTTGGCACAGTTGTTGGTCCTGGTACAGCATACTAAATGGCCGAAAAATCGGACAATAATCACGCCCACATCCCATATAACGGTAATTTAGAGAAATACTAAATCTTCGATAAATCAGTAAATATTAAAGCTAATTTATTCAAAATTGATGCTTGGAACAATTCTTTACCAAGAAATACGTTTATGGTAAAATTTTGGAAAATGGGCGTGGCACCGCCCACTTATGATCACATATATGTATATCGGTAACCGTTCTACCAATTTGGTATTTTTATTGTGCTTGCCACTTAAAAGCAAAACGTTGAAAATTATTGAAATCGGACTATAATTACGGCCGCTTTTCATATAACGGTAAATTTCAGAAATGCTTGAAACTGTAATATTTCGAAATTTAAGGACGCTAATTTACTCAAAATTTATGCACCCCGGCTTACCATCTAGCGTTAGCTTTCGGAAAGGTGAAAAAACATATATTTAATACTTGCGCCGGGTATTTAATGTTCGGCTCCGCCCGAACTTAGACTTTCTTACTTGTTGAATACCGAAAACTTTCGGGCTCTTTTAAGTTCTGAGTACTTTTGAGTTCTTTTGTGAGTACTGAGCATTTTGGAGTAGTCAGTATCGATACTTTTAAATATTGGGTGTTGTCGATCCTTTTGAGAATCGAGTTCTGAGTACTTTTGATATCGATACTGCCCAACACTAATAAACATTGTGTTTCTAGTCTGGCTGTCGTTACTCGAAAATTTTATCTGAAAGAGGTGTTTTATTTCGTCACCCGTATGCCAGAAACATGAATTTGTAAAAATTAACATTTTGGAAAATCAAGTTTGAAAGTTTTTTTACGAGACTTAAGGCGCTTGCTCAAAGCAGGTTTGCTTTGCACGTCTTGGTTACTTTAATTTGCTTTTATTTACTTTGAAAACTCGTTTGGCCGAATAGGGGCTTGGAACGCTGTCAAAGCAACCGGCTGTGTTGTTAAAAAGTCAAGGGCTGTTCCTTTAATACTAAAAATTATTTTTCCACAAAATTACAGAAAATTTAAAACTAAATACAAATAACACAGCTCAATCTTCCTAGTAGCACTAATAGCACTGTACGGCAAAACCAATTTTTTTTCTGGGTATTGGACCAAACCAATTTTTTTTAAGAGATTGAGTCATAAGTAAAAAAAGTAAGTTCTCCGTTTTTCGAAGTTAGTCTCCAAAATCGAGACATGGGCCTTCGAAGTTCGAAATAGGACCTTTGGTAAAAAATTATATTTAATTATTGCATATAAATAACTAAAAACCTAAAAATACAGACGTAGTCCTCCTTTTGCACTTATTTAAATGGTATAAAACTTTTTTTGTGCAAACTTATGTATATTACAAGTGCTATAAAGGGTCAAAGTTCAGGTCTTCGAAAAATTAAATTCCTTATATTTCAAACAATTTTGAGCTGATTTTTTTTAAATTTATATCGTTGCAAAGGTGATTAAACCCTTTCTTTCGATATGCATATTTGTATACTTCGTATATAACCGATATGATGGAACATTTGCAAAACTTGAATTTGTCTCTACATGGAGAGAATAAAAATCTTTTTGATTTGTCGCAAATTATTTAAAGTTTTGAAGCTAAACTACGTCTTTTTATTCATGATCTCTAAACAAAAATATTTCATCATTTTCCATTGCTAGAAAAATATTGCACGTGGTTTAAAAGCAGATTTTGAAAAAAAGATTTGCTGATTTGATATTGGGCCGTATGAATAAAAATAAGCAATTGCTTTTTCTTAAAATTTCAGATCTTTTAATCAATTTATTCAAACAAAATTGAAGTAAAAGGTATGAAATTTTAAGAAAAAGCAATTGCTTAGTTTTTATTCATACGGCCCATTACTTAAATGTACGTTTACACACTTCAAACCCTTTTTTATGTTTGATAATTGAGGATGAATTTACAATTTCCGAAATTCTCCTTTTTAAGAAAAGCGAAAGAAAAAACGTTGGAATTTTCGGAATTAAAAGAAGATAAGGCACTGGAAATGCAACATAAAGCTTTGCCATTACTTGAATTCCGGCAACAAGTACCAGATGTAAAATATCCGCTGTTGAAAACAGATGCGTGCCGTATATTTTCAATTTTTGGTGCAACGTATAACTGTGAGTCTTTGTACTCTACAATGAAATTCGTAAAGTCAAAATACTGTTCACAATTAGTTGCATTCGCGTACCTGATAAAAGTTGCATTCGCGTGCCTGTTAGGTATTGAAAGTTATCAAAAACCATCAGCTTTTTGCGATCGCGTACGCAAAAAACTTGCAATGTAGGGGAAATTGTGAGAGCAAAGTGACATTTCATTTTGAGGGGAACCTGTTAGTTTCTACTGGAACAATTTGCCAACAGCAATTTGTCAACAAGAACACAGCTGATCGAAAACAGGTGGTTGGAATTTACGCAAACCCCTAAATTGAATTTGATGGTTTGGAAGTTAAAATAGTACAATGCGTCTAATTAAACTTGTAAAAAGGAAGTAATTAATCGTTTAGTCAGTGAACTGTGGTAGGATGAGACTACCGGATGTCAATTTTATACTTTTGAAACAAAATTTCTAAAAGCTGTTCGACTAATTTGCAAGTCTCTGCAAATTTTCTGGTTGCATACTATTTTAGATATATTTGTCTAGTGAAAGAAAAGATGACATTTCGCCGGAATTTTGCTGTTGGACATTTTTTACTGGAGATTTTGAACGAACGTACCTTATGACTAACCAACATTTAACAGAACGGTTACGAAAGGCTTTAACTGACGTAAAACCAGATTGTGAAAATTTTGCCAAAGAGTTCTTTTGAATTTTCTTTAATATCTATCTCATGTACATAATCGGCATATATCTTAAGGACGAGGACACGTAAAAGTTAAAAATTTAAAAAATAGAAATATTAACAAAAACTAACAAAACCTACGATCACAAGATCAAGTGTAAATAGCATCGGAATAGCTGCGCTAGATTGTAGTTGGCTTAACACATGAAAAATGTGGAAGAGGCAACAACAGTTTGCGTGGCGAACTTAGCTCAGTGGGTATGACTACTGACTTTGACGGATGGGGTCGTTACATCGAATCCCAGTTGAAGAAGTCTGATGAGGAGATGTGGTGATCTACGAAATAGCAGCTATAACTTCTACCAAAATGTAGATTGTTGTTTTTTCCGCCAAAATATTGATTAAAAAATGGCTTCAAGCTTAACAAAATTGTTGAATATATTTGTTATAAGGTCATAAATAACAAAAAAAAACAAAAAACAAATATATAATATACAGCGTGGCGACGAATAACTGTTACCCGTTTTTTTTTTTGAGAAATAAAAAGGTCCTTTATAGATTTTGCGAAAAAAGTATTTTATTGTTAATTTTCCACAGATTTCACTTTAGTTGTAATAATTAGTTTTTAAATTTGAATCCTTATTTACATTTGCCAGCAGTGTAAACTGTGAGAGAAAAGTTCATTTGGCACGCAGGTTCAGTTAATTTATTCCATATCTTCTGTAACCATAGGCAAATTTTCTCCATTTTGAGTCCCTTATACTCTCCCTTTTGTCCAACCTAAGGCCTCATACTGAAAAATCGAATGGGCTTGGAACAGGGGATGACCATCATTCGACCACCCTTATACAGTTTTTCTTTTTTGTATTTTTTTATACAAAGCCTAAGAAAAAATACACCTTACAATACTTGCGTGCCAAATGAACTTTTCTGTCAAAGTTTAAACTGCTGGCAAATGTAAATAGGTATTAAAATTTAATAACTAATTAAATTAGTAAAGTAAAATCTATGGAAAATTCCCTGCTGAAGTCTAGAAAAAAAGAAGTCTGATGAGGAGATGTGGTGATCTCCGAAATAGCTGCTATAGCTTCTACCCCTTAGAGTTTGTTGCTTTTTCAATTTTTTCTAATAAACAATCATGGTACAAAGCTCAATAAAAAATATTTAAAAAAAAAAATACTTTTTTCGCAAAATCTATAAAGGACCATTTTTTTCTCAAAAAAAACCAAGGTAACAGTTATTCGTCGCCACCGTGTATAAAAAATCTGCTTTATACCCGGTATAGTTTCTAGAAACAAAGGAAGTCCTTTTCTATTTTAAAATTCAAGTGGTTCAAAAAATATCGTGAATTTTTCAAACGAATTATGTATTACAAAAACAAATTACGAATGTTGTGGCCTAAATATTGTTTTCTTTATAAAAAAGCGCAAATGTAATGTTTAAATCAGCAGTCCAATATGACTGTATTAAAGTTTTAAAAGAAAACGAATAATTTTTATTTAAAATGAGTTTTTTCAAAAACGGCTCGAAAAGTTTCGGTCTGTAAAATTTTGAATCATTATTTATAACGTAATTAACACAAATTAGTAAAAAAAAAATTATGTGCTATGACCTTCAAGCTAAAGTTGGTTCAGGCTCACAGTGAAGTACATACATGTCTAATTGTATCTTCTTTGCTTCTTCCAACCTTTCTTTTCATTTGACTCCCTTTGGCTGAATATCACACCTGGTCTGATGGCTCTAACAACACAGCTGAATTTCTCACCTCACAGTCGCGCACCGAAGAGGCGATTTTTTATCGCGTACGTGCTGCTGAGCTTGCGACCGATGACTACGCGTTAGTAGTAGCGGCTGCTACGGCTTTACGCCTGTCTGATCGCAAGGTGGAATCCGAAAGTTGGTACCGCAAGGTGAGGCAAAGGAAGAGCAATAAATTCCTACAAGAAAATCAAATTCACTGCCATTAAATAATCTACTTTTCTCTTTTCAAAATTAAACAAATAACTATGTTCTCTGTTCCATATTCCACGATTGCAGGCGGTGACGATGAGACCCAACGACGCCCACGCCCATACAAACTTGGGTGCCATTCTGCATCTGCTGGGACGCACCACACATGCGGCTAATAGCTACCAAGAAGCCTTAAGATTGCAGCCAGGGGATCCGACAACATTAGGAAATCTCGCAAAGCTGGACGTCATTAAATCGAAGTGAATGCATTTGAATGCATTCTTGAGGAAAGTGATGTCATGGGTATGACTTTGTCAATACCTGACTAAGCTCAATTGTAATATGATAAAAACTGCTGCAGTAGGAATTAGAGTTTTGAACAGTTTTTGGATAAACAAGAAGATCGAAATATTTTTTATAAAGATTAACATAAAATTGTGTATATAATTCAATAACATAAAAGGACTTGAAATTCTTCACATTATCAATAACAAAATACCAAACGAAAGAGGAACTTCATGCACAAAAAGTGGGATTTAGCTCAGCTGAAGAATTTGTATTGAAAATCGAGTCAGAGCTAAGCTCACTTTTTATACGTGAGGATGATTAATTAAGTTTGTAGCTTCAAAGTAAATTGGAGGAATTAAAACAAAACAATAATAAAATACGTGTTTGCATATATATAATTATGTAGTTTAGCCGCTTGTAAATAACAGCTATGCGGATCATAAAGTCTACGTATGTTGGTTTTGTGTTATTTACTTAATTCAATTTGTGTAAATTCTCAAACTGAACGAGTATGTATTTGTTGCAAGACGCAGAATTAAAAAATCGTTGGGCAGCGAAAAGCATTTAAGTATTGTTAAAATCCGAAATTGTCGACTATAAGAAATGTAAATTTATGTTTAAATATGATATCATATACATATACATAACTGAGGAAGGCAATGATTATGAAAAGCTAACAATAAGCAAGGTAATGGGATTAGCCAAGTGCTAGAGAAGGGATGAGTTAATGTAATGTGTGTAATACGAATAATAGTAAATATAAATTATGAAAGTGTAAATGATAATAACTGCTTAATGTAATGAATATTGTATCAAACAGAGGTCATATTGAAATACATACATACATGAAAATAATTTAAATACATGAATGAACAATAAATACTTATACAAAAATATTTTAAAGTTTAAGATTGTAAAAATTTAGGTATTTGACACAGTAAGTATTACCTTCGTCATTTAGTTCGTTAGCCACCATCAGGACCAGGTATTGCCTAATATTACACTGGTCAACAGTGGTTTTGGCGCCAAGGAGCTATAATTCTTTTTTAACTTAGGACTTTATACTGATTACATATGTATGTAAAGATAAATTCTTATTACTTCCTAGGCGCAGTCTTCTACAGTTTTTACTTGTTCAGAAAAACAAAAATTTTCATCAAAAACTGCATTTAATAAATTATAATGTACATACAAACTTTCATTTTCGGAACTTTCTTGAATTAGGTGTACTAGAACAATCACGTTGCATCCCCCAGGAGAAGTTGCCCATCATATGACGATCCCTCGGCCTTGGTGCTGTTTATGTAGGGCACTTCCGTGGCCATATTACACCCTAAGGTTTTAAAGCTCTCCACCATGTCGTTTACGATTTCGGAGAAAGTACTTGACTTTTAATTTCCCAGAAAATTTTTATTGAATTCTACAAACGAAGTTCACGCAGGACATTCGAAATCGCTCACTGAACTTAAAAAATCGACACCCTTTATTAACATTCTTATTTGGGGGCCATAAAACTGCCCCGCTTTTATCTTTTTTATTATTACAACGCTTTTATCAACTTGCAATGTTGTATGCTCAGACCACCATACTATAAATATAGCAGAGCTGTGTAATGATTGAATCAATTGAGTGTGCATTCTCATTTTTTTCGTTTCAAAAATGTGATTGTTTGGTTTAAAAAATTTGACAACCACTCTTGAGATTGGTTACAAATCGTAAACACTATATATGTAGAGTGTTATGGAATGGTTGAGACCCATTCTCATAGAGAATGTGAATGCAAAAAAAAACTCAATCATGTATGATTGTACGTTTATGGGAATGCAATCTGTCATTATCAATCAGTACTAATACTATTTGTTGTATCAGGGTTGAAATTTTTGTACTCAAAATGTGAAATCTGAAGATTGCCATCTCCCTTAAAATAACTAAACAAATAAATATTTGGTGCTGAAATATTTTTCTAAGTGTTTGGCCGAGCTTCTCCTCAAACTTGAGGCATGAGTTCTGTTGTTGGGACACAAATGGAGACACTTACATATTTAAGGCTGACACCGAACGCCAAATGATTATATAAAAAGAGTTTTCAAGGCGGAAATATACTCGGAGGTTTGTAATTGCGTGCCGAAGGACTACTGCTATTTTGGGTTATGATCTGACCAGGGATCTAACCATGGTTCTATGGAGTGGAAGTACGCACATGTATGTATACATCAGGGATGAAAAATGGAAATTTCAGATTGTACCTAATATCATAAAATAAATGTACCTAAATGAGATAGACTGTACCTAAAAAAAATTACATCATTCATTTGTATTATTATTATAAATTTTTTTTAAAACATGAATACAAAAGATGGATGTACTTTAAACATGATTAGGTTTTTTTTTAACAGAGCCTATATCTATAGACTATAGTCTAATGGGAATCGAAGAAGCATTGTTTTTGTTTAATTTTGACTACTGAAAAATATTGGCGAAAAAGACAAAAAACACACTTTTCGAAGTGTACTTCTTTATCCAGCTTTTTATAAAACAACAGGAAAAGTCTGCTAGAAAATAATCAAATTGCCGTAAGTAACTTCGAAAGCATTTTAAATATATTTCCAGAAATCAAAAAGCGAATATGGGTCAAATAGCTGTAGTTCTCATCTAAAGAAAATATGAAATTTGAAGACATCCCAGACACTGGACTGTATGTAGGGATGCAAATGATGCATCGATGTTTTCAAAACATCGATGTTTCGTCCAAAAAAATCGATGTTAATATCGATGTTTTGCTGGAGGATACATCGTCGATACATCGACTAGGAAAGTGAAAAACATCGACATCGTTCACTCACTCCGTTCGTATTGTGCCGAACGACCAGTGGCAAGCGAGCGCTTGTTTTCGGAAGCTGGTGCAACCATCATTCAGGATAGAAGCAGGCTTTTGGGGGCTAGATTATCAAAGCTTGTTTTCTGAACTAATTTCAAAATGTTTATTCATATTTAAATAAATAAGATTTACATATTTAAGATACATCATAATAATAAAACAGGTGCAAGTTTTAAGCGGCTAAAAATCGCTTTGATTTTTAATGATTTTTTGGCGGCTTTTGCGTTTTTTTCAAATAAAAGGTTAAAAATCAAGGCGATTTTTAACGGCTTTTTCTAAAAATTCAGATAAAAAAGTTCAAAATTAAGATAAAAATTTGTTAAATTTTTCAAAGTTTTGTATAAAGTTATGGTTTGCAGCGGATATGTGAATCTAGTTCTTTCGAGTTTAAAAAATATTTCAGGCTACATTTTATTTCGTGTAGTAGATGAGATATTAAAACATCGGTAAAACATGATGTATCGTTTTTATAACCGATGTTTTTTGACATCGATGTTTGTTGCGGGAACATCGATGTTTTTAAGAGCATCCCTAACTGTATGGGCGAATAAAGGCTGGTTTTCATTATGTCATATTTTGACAACAAAATTTTTGAACCTATTTTGACACAACTTTCTTTCCTTTATCCCTATTTTTACCGATGATATTATGGGCTAAAAACTTACAAATAGCCACTTTAACAGCGCATGTACATGCCTGAAGGCCTATTATGATCTAAATCAATCAAAAGACCATTTTTTAGTCTCATTTGACAATTTGTTTTCACTTATTTGACCGCAAATGCCATTTAATTTGACTTAGTGAAAATAAGCGTTAAGATTAATAGAAAAAAATTACGAATTTGAGGATAGCTAAGTAAAGTGTTAATTTTTCGTAGTAGCTGCTCTAAAAACAGTGTAAGATGTTTAAGATAATACTTAATATGACTTTTTTGAATTCTTCCTTTTGACCTCTTTTCTTTCGAATTGTTTATTCTTCAAAATGAAATCGAAGCTTTTCGCGTGCCTACAAGTAAATATATTAGCACGGTAAAGGAAAAAGAAAAAAAAAACTAAAAATGCATCTGATCAAAAGATGATTGTACCTAAAATCTAGTGGCTGTACCTAATGTACCTTTAAGTCATCAAACGTCGGAAAAAGGTACAATTGTACCTACTTTTTCATCCCTGGTATACATTATTCCCTTATTTGTTCTCAAAATGCATGACAACTATAGTACGTTTGCAAACAATTAATAACATTTTGTGATAAATAGTTTTACAAATGTATTAGGATATCAAATTTGTGTTTTAGTAAAGTATCAATTAAATAAATTATTATTGTAAANTTATTCCCTTATTTGTTCTCAAAATGCATGACAACTATAGTACGTTTGCAAACAATTAATAACATTTTGTGATAAATAGTTTTACAAATGTATTAGGATATCAAATTTGTGTTTTAGTAAAGTATCAATTAAATAAATTATTATTGTAAATTATTATTATAATAAATAGATATAAAAATGTTTATATTTGGCAACTCTTAGACTTTTCTTTAATTGCAACAAATGACAGATGTAAACAAAATAAAAAAATTATTGTAATTTTACAAATTTAAAGAAAACGGGCATTCTTTACAAAAAATATAGTAAGGGATCGAATTGCGAATATTTTTCTTACAATACCAAGTGCCTCCAAGAAGTGTTAAACCACTAAATACCTTAAAAAAACGCCTTCAACAATTCGAAACGAGAGCGAAGTGCAGTGTTCAATTGTGATCGAAATTGCAGGCAAAATTTGTGCGTTTGTAATTAATGTTTTATTTGAAGAAATGTTGCCCCTTGTCATTAAAAATAAGCAAACCAAAGGTCTCCTCCCCACCCGCCTTCCCACTGGTGGTTACATAATACTTGAATAGCCCCTTAATTAACATTTGCTTGTTTTGTGCACGCACGGCCATTTAAACAGGCATGTCTGAATCGATTTCCTTCAACATTCTTAGCAATTCGATGTGCATTTTTATTGTTATCTGTTGCAAACAGACATTTTAGGAACTAAATAGGTTCTAAAATCTCTGTACACAAGCGCACTTATTTTTAACAGTTTCCAGTTTATGCAATATTGGTCAAAACCAGGGACGTGAACCGGTTTTGAACCGAACCGGTTTTGAACCGGAAAACCGCTTTTTATACCTTTCATGAGCATGAAATGGTATTATAACTTTGGTCCGATGTTTGTAAGTACCAGAATAAGAAGAGATAGACCCATTAAAATGTATACTTAAATGATCAGAACGGCGAGCTGAGTCGATTTAGCCATGTCCGTCTGTCCGTCTGTCNATCAACAGAAAACTTAGAGTGAAAATTACAAAGATCGGGTCACTATAACATATAGCTCTCATAAAACTGATTGTTCAGATATAAGATTTTTCGTTATAACTCCTCCATTTAAGTAGCTAGACACATGCACTGTTGTCACTTATTATCAAAAGAATACTTTCAGTGAAAATGGCGAAGATCGAGTCACTACAACCTATATCTCCCATACAACTGATTGTTCAGATATGAGATTTTTTGCCATAACTTCTTCATTTATGCAGCTAGGAACATCAAAATTCGCACCGTTTCCACTCATTGTTAACAGAATACTTATAGTGAAAATAACAAAGATCGGGTCACTGTTACATATAGGTCCCATACAACTGATTTTTCAGATATGCGATTTTTTGTTATAACTACTCAATCTACGCAGCTAGAAACATGAAATTTCGCACTATTTTCACTCATTATCAACAGAAAGTTTACAGTAAAATTAACAAAGATCGGGTCACATTAACCTGTTTATTGCCCCCATACAACTGATTGTTCAGATATGGGGTTTTACTGTAAAACTCCTTTATTTGGACAGCTAAAACCAATAAATTTCGTAAGCTATTTTTTAAATAATAATACAAAGTCAACTGAGAAAATCGTCAAAATCTATGCTGTATAATCTTAATCTCTTGTACCACTGATTGTT